AGAAACAATGGAACGAGGAGTGGAAGGAGGGGGCCTTGAGACACGAGGGAATGAATATGCAGAAGTACAAGTGGAAGTAGAAGACTGCAAACCTGCTGTATCAACTCTGGCTTCTACAGATTCTGGAATTCCAGCAAATAAATAAAGCCAAAGAAAAGGTGCTTCCCATAAATCTCAAAGGGCAGAAGAAAGTAAGTGAATACCCTCCAAAAATGCATCACGACCTAACAAGTCCCAGAAAAAGACCAACCACAACACAAAGGCAAGAACTTGTCATAATAGTGACCAGTAAATGGCCCAGTTCATTATCAAATTGTTGAGGTGATTGGTGATATGCTTCAGACAAAAGTTGAAGGGAAGAGAAGTATCTTAAAACAGTAGTAAGAGTCAAACGAATCTGTGATAATTGTGCATGTTAAGAGATGTAACAGGTTTGTTCCTGGCACCCCACAGATCCAACCTTTTAATGTCCAAATATATATCATCCTGATGATGATACGCCAGGGCATGTTTTTCAGATAAACGAGGGGGGAAGGCATAGCAACACCCTCACATAATTGTGTTGCAAACCTCCATTCATGCACAGCAATATCAGGAGAAGGAGGAAAACTAAGTAATCCCTTTGAGAACGATCAGACAACAAAGCAGGAGTAGACTCAAAAGCAACTGATTGCATCTCCAAAACTTCACAAACACGTTTAAACAACTACAGAAAAAGGGGCAGAAGGTAGCTGATCAGATCAATCCTCAGGAGAGGAAGCTCTAATGAAAGAGGGGGTAGGAAACAAGGAGTCTAAGTTCTCCCCAGAATATTCCGTTTCAGAATTAAATTCAAATCAGCACCTCCTGGAGAGATACCAAAAATACAAACAAATTGATGAAAAGGGAAGAACATCAATGTCAAATCAATATGCAGCCTCATTTTGTTTTGTGAAATCTATGTCTTTTAGTCTCAAAACTATGGGTTGTGGTCTTTCTTTTATGTATTTCCTCTTGAGCATCTCGTTTCAACGACCAGCAGTAATCAGCCATCAAGCTGATGTTCCACCTTCCCAGATACATCCTCTCCATTTTCCTGATGTCTTGAATGACACCTCTCCTAAATTACCCTTTTATCTTTCTAGAATGACTTCAAATTGTAACATGAAACTACATTCATTTATCTTAAATAGCTCTATGTTCGTAACAGTATACGTTTACTTATAATTAAACTTTAAATTTGTTTTACTGCCCTTTGAACCATGTCTAACTACTATCCTCACCATTATAAGTTGTAAATCACTCGGCAAAATGCAGCTCATGTTATGCTAACGAATCACGTTATCCCATTATAATGGGAATGATCAACTAGTAAAACACCCTTCATATTCCCAAAAATTTATTTCATGACTTTTCACGCAGAGGATTGTGACTTGAACTTCCTTTGGGTGGGTAAATTTGGGTGTTTCCTGTGGAAACTTTGAATTTTTTTCTGTTGATCAAAGTGGTGAACCCACATTTTATCCATGGTTACAAATCTACTGAAACCTGTGGAGCAGGCATTGGCTTTCAACAGCTCAGATTCATTTGTGCTCAGGTGACAACATTTTTGGAACACATCTGGTACTAACCTTACCCATGATCAAATTGTCACTCAAAATTCTTGCTACAGTATTTTTACCAATTCTTACTTCCTCTGTTAACTTCCTAACAGTCTCATTGTTAGAATTGTGTACAATGAAACTGTTTATTGAAAATTGAGTTTTTAACATTGAGCATTTACACAAACACCAACAAATTTTAATAAATTACTTTTTTCCTTTCAAGAATAACTGCATATTACAAGACATTTACAGTTATTTATTCTAAAAGCTTCAGTCCTTTCATAACTACTTTACTTAATTTTATTTCTCATTAAACCATGTATAACCAATCTAATAGCATAAAAAAAGCAATAAATTACCTGGAAAAAGCACAGTGCAAGTTATGTTAAACAAAGCATTGAGTCACATCACACATGAGCAGCTTGCACACATTCCATGCAAAGAATTTTTTTTCATTTAGGTTTTCTTATCTAACCTAATGAGATTCTAATTTTTTAATTTTAGTTACTTTTACAAAAATACACATAAAAACAAGAAATTTAGAATTTACTTGTAGGATCTTGCATTTCATCAGCAGTGTCCTGATGAACCTTATGCCTAGTTTTTGATAGGGATGTCGGTAGTGCAATTTTTGAAAAATTTCAGATAAACAATTTAGAATACAAAATACTGACAAGCACAATAAAATGGAATGTGCTAAAACTCATGTAATTTCAATGACTTTCTAACTAAGGTATAACTGGATTAAAACAAAATTGTTAGCTGGTCAAGCTGAACTTGGACAATGGGAAACAAAAAAACTGATGCCAAATTTGATCTTACTGAGGAAAAGTTTTAACTACGCTATCATACCCTGAAAGTAAAATGACACAGTTCAATAACGCACAATATAACAATCTAATGAAGTGAACGGACCTCAAATGGGTACACTTAATTAGTGGGTTCCAAGAATTGGCACCAGAAGTGGTAAATCAAAACCTATATTACATGTATGAATTTTTTACATGTCAAAACCTGAATTCTTTGTACATAAAAAATAATGTTGAAAATGAGCACCGCTGATTATTAATTATCAAAGTATTTACTTTCATTTAAACTTTCTGTTTTCAATACAATGGTTTATTTTTTATTCCATATATACTCATGTGGTCAACTTACCAACAACAGAATGATTGATATCAGTTTCCACTGCAACATCCTTTCTCTTAGACTGTTCAGTGGAATCACGTTTTCCAGAAAGTTCTTTACGAATTCGTTCCAGAGCAGCCTCACTCAGCTGCAACCCTACCACATGATGACGTTCACCAGATGGCAGTAAAGATGAACAGCCACTAGTTGACCCAGATTCTTCACTGTGGTCAGACTGATCATCACCTAACCAATTCAATATATATAAGGGTGAGTGTGTAGTTTAGCTGTGATGGCTGTTTATGTCTAAGTGCAAAAATAATTTTAGAAACTTTAAAATATGGAAATTTACAATACAATAAAACCAAAACAACCTAATCACTTTTTCACACACAACAATAAAAAACCTGTGTAATCATCAAAGAAAAAATAATACTCATAAGCATGTCTATCAAACCAAAAATTGAAATAAAATATTCAAAATAAGTCTTATTTCATTGTTTATGCAGATCACAAGTTTTATATCATTCCACAACATTTTAATATTATTACACATTTCTTTAGTACCTGCATTAATGATTCCACAACAATACTGTAACCCTATCTCTACGAGTCTTCCTATGATCACGGGTCAAAGGCCATGTCATCACGTTTGTAGACTTGCATTCAAAATTTTATTGAACTACTATTTTATGAATGTATATCAATAAGTTTGGTATTAAATTGTAGTTTATAATTTAAATTTTAGTATGATCCATTAGTAAATTTCTTAATTTAAATGTAAACATTAAAAAAGAAACCCTAATATAACATGGTATGTTGAATTCAGCATTGGTTCATATTAAATGTTTGTGATGTCTAGATACAGCAAAGTTTATAGTTTCTTTCAAATTAGGAACTCACATTATTGATATTGACAAGCTAGAATACCAAATAAGAACCTCCAAAATTTTCTATTGATTGAGATTTCACAACATGTACTGAACAAACACAGTGGCCCTGCCCATCTTTTTCCATTTTTGGAAATGTTTATATACACATACTTCTGTCTGTGATGTGTGTATAACCAATCGAAAGATCAGAATGTCCCCCTAGTGTCTTTCTCAGCATAATGAAAGTATTCAGCACCAAACTCATTCTTTTAAAGCTAGAATTCAAAACGGTAAAGTGAAACTTTAGTGAGATAAAAATTTCATATTTCTTTAGACCAAAATACAGCTTAGTTACCGAGTTTGATAAATTGTAGTGGAATTCTATGGTACTGATATAGCAATTTTTGATTTTTGGTTATTTCAAAATGTATATTTAAAACTTTAAAAAATTTTGTTTCACATCCTCCACATGCAAATTTTCTTAAGGGAAGAAGCAACTGAGTACAAAGGTTGTAACAAGAGATAATGTTTGCTTTACTTCTTCATTGACTCTTTTATGTTTTAAGAAAAATAAGTTTAAGAACTTGTTTGTAAATAGTAATAATCTATATACATATATATTATATAATAATTGAAAAATTAAATAAATATAATTTAACAGTATTAGTGTATCATGAAAGTTAAGCAAAATTGCACAAATCAGCAAAGTTTCACCGTGACATCCAATATTTTCTCCCATTTTATTTGTGCATAGGGATGTGCTAAATAGAACTCAAATCTTTAACAGTTCTGGACTCTTAGAACTCAAACTATTTTTGCATTCTTTGAGTCCTAAATCAAATCTGTGATTTTAATGGCAAATTCAGCACTTCATGTTTTTACAGGAATGAAGTGCTGTGGTTGCATAACACATTACTAATTCCATATCATTTGATTCTTCTTCTTCTTTCTCTCAGTTCAACCAATCGGTGCACGTGTTTAGACTAAGACAGTTTTTCGGCTGGCTCCCATATCGGAAAATATTTGTCGAGGCCTGCCTTAATGTAGTACTGTACAATCAGCTCCCATTGCTGCCAGTGAATAGACTAGCACCAGTCGATGAAGTATATTCTTGAATGCAAGGAAAGAACTACTTTGATCCAAATCCTGTTAAATGGTTGTTGATATCATTTGATTGTTAGCATGCACTTGTTGCTATAAAAGTAAATATATATATATGGCCCCCACTTCCTGTTACAAACAGTATTGATTTTAGCCACACCAAAAGGCCTTTGCTTATTGTTGTACAGTGTTACAGTGATGAGACCTATTCTGAAACAACTTGCTGGACTAATCGATATCACAGTGTTTATTTTTATTTTACTTTCATTCATTGCAAGAATCAACCCAAGTTATAGTTATTTAGCCTACTATTTTAATAATTGAAGTTTAACTTTAATATATGTTATATAATAAAGTAATAATAATAAGCCTTTTGTTTTTAGTGTAAAACTGTAGGTCTTGTACCATAACCACACAACTGACTCAAAATATATTCCATAACATTTCTATATTGGACCTGGCTCCCATATCTGAAAATATTTATCGAGGCCTGCCTTAATGTAGTACTGTACAATCAGCTGTCAGTGAATAGACTAGCACCAGTCGATGAAGTATATTCTGAAATGCAAGGGAAGAACTACTTTGATGCAAATGCTGTTAAATTTTCACAGGATCAGCAAAATTATCCAAATCAGGCCATAACTTATGTGTATTACCTGCTTCCCAAGCAAAATGTCTTTCTGTTTGTGGTTTGACAAGAAAGAGAAACAGTGCAGGATATACCCTTGAAACTATGGTGTGAAACTGAACTACAATGTTATGTCTCTGTAAACTGTTCACTTACAGTATTGTGGCATATCCCACAAATTACATGGAGTAATGTGGTTGCACTATTAAAATTGTAACTTGAACAGTAATAAGTTTTTCGTCTTCTTTTTTTGTTGTTGTAAGCAGGAACTGAATCCTGATCATAAAGATATGACAAATTAATATGCTAAAACTAAAATTCAGTTAACTGAAAGTAAATAACTTAAAATAAAAACTAAATAGAAATAAAATACCATTTGAAACTCAATAAAACAAATTAAAATTAATGCTAGAACTCAAAAAACACATACTACATTAGATAACTACATTCACCATATGTTGCATAAATGAAACTGTCACTGATCCACAACTGAACAATATAAACAATTTTAAGCTGGATTTTTCCAATTTTGTTTATCACATTAAAAACACAAATCAGTTGCAAAGAGGAATTTTAAAACACAAAAGTAAAAATTAATGTTTCACCAGTGTTCAGATGACATTATCTATCCAGACAGTCAGCTGAAAATTGGTTAAGTACTTTTAGAAAAATTATTTAACGGTTTTAACAAATTTTAATCTTTATCCCGTTAACACTTTTATTGTATAACTATCTCATATTTTTTTAATCATGTCAAGCTCTTCCTGTTTCAGTCTGCCACATCTTGACTACAAATTAAACCTAAAGTACAAAACATCCATTCAACTGTAACATCAACAGATGGAATGCAAACATAAATTATAGTAGTAGCAGCTCAAGTGAATTTTTTCTGCCCATCAAAACAGTGGGTTGCTTTCAGCATCCTCTTCAGGAAGACCCTCACAGATGTGCAAGCAGCTTGTAGATAATTTGATGTGTTTAGTTTCCTTACGATATCGGGCAATCAAGCTGATTCTTCTTGTTTCTCAACTCCCTTTCAATCTTTATTCTGTTTAGCAAGATTGTGAGATGAACTTTATTTTTGACTCTTCAGGTCTGTCAGTACTATGAACCATTTTTCATTATGAACATGGTACCCTTGGTTTGTATTCTCAGACAAAAGTATTAGTTTTGGCAGATGTCAGTTGCTTCAGTGTTATTACATTAACACCATAAAAAGAAGTTATTTTAAACCTTAGTTCAATAAATATGGAATAGTTCAGAATAATTAAACTTCTGATTAGAATAAGCTTTGTACTTAAAGCAAAACTAAAAATCAATCTGGTAATCAGTAGAGCTTATTAAATATATTTTTTCTTATATGCATCTGCAAAATTATTCAGTGTGTATACCACTCTGAGAAATGTTTCAAATATAGTGACATCAGTGTCCCTTGTCATAAGATTTAAGTCAACCTGTTTTTTTGCAATGCTATTCTATTACATTAGTTGAATAAGAAGCAGTGATGTTCCTGACCATAAGTGTTAGCTAGTTAGATAGTGAGGAAGTTTTATGCATAGGAATAATGAGTTCATGTTTCAAGAATTCATCACTTCATTCCATAAGATCTAGTTAGACTTCATTAGAAAGTGTGTGTTTAGTTTTGGTTAACTGGTTTAAGAAAACATTGTGTTGTTGAAGGCAGTTTATAGAATAACTACTAAGATGATTACAAGTTTGGATTATTGTATGGAGCTATGTTAAAATTTCTGAATGTTTTCATTGGACAGAATGATTTTGGGACATGATCGAGGTTTCTTAAGATTATAAGAAGCCTTGAATTTATAAAGACACAACATTTTCTTACAACACTGCATAAAATACAAGTTCAAGATACAGAAAACTTACAAATGATTCCACTTATTGCACTGTTACTTTTATAACAATGTGGTAAAAGATGCAATACTTAAAAGAGTTTAAAATGATATTACATGAGTATTTTAGAGATCAGGATTGAGTATAAAAAAATCGGTTTCCATATGTAGATTAGGTTAGTGATAATATGCAATTAGATAACCTAAGCAGGCCAAGTGGTCCCTTGTTATCCCTTTGAAATAAATTTTGTTTTTAGAATGCTCAATTCATTTAAAGAGAATATTTAGTTAATACAACTAGTACTTTAAGACCATTTAACAAACAAAACATTTTCTCCATATCAAATACCATTATTTACTGCATGTTTAGCATCTTTCAAATTCTGCAGGTTGTAGTCACTGTAAATTTCTATCAATGACATATTAAACCTGATTTATTTAAAATAATTTAAGAATGTTACTTCTTTGAAACTCCTAATTTTTTAAATAAAAACTTATTGGTTGTTATATTAAGCCTATAGTAATAATTTAGACGTTAACCATTTACCATTAATTGCAAGATGAGATGACCCATCTTCATGGCCCCTGGTAGGCAATCTTTTAACAGCAAGATTTGAAGCTTCACTCAGTACTTTACAGGGATCATCAACATTGTTTTGAAGAGAAAAGTCTTCAGTCTCATCATAATCTTTTTCATCTTGATTAGTTGAAGTATGTTTGGATAAATTTTGCCACTGGTTTGAAATTAGGTATTTACTTTTCCCAGCTTTCTCTAGAACACTTTTAGATGATTGAGGTGCGAATTCACTTTGTGAAAATGGTTTTTCTTCATTCTCTTCTAACACTAAATTATTCTTATCTCTTGCCTTTCTTTCAAATGTTGATGATTCATGCCAGTTCAATGTTTTTTCCTCAACCCCCAAGTCTTCATCGGCTAAGGAGTTCTGGGTACTTCCCATTAGCCAGGAAGGTACAAATATATCTTTTACTGTTGACGCCATACGCCATAACCAAGACTATTGTGGAAACAAAGATATAATATAGTTAGTACATTTTTGTTAAAAACACACACAAAGACTACAGTGAAGAAAGGAATAAACTGAATGATCATCAACAATTACAGTTCAGTTATTACACTAAGTTACAAATACACAAATATTGTCTTGTGTAAAAAATAATAAACTACATATATATATATATATATATAATCAAAATCACCTTACAGTATTACTAACAAATGTTATTAAATTTACTGTCACAAATTACTAATGTCCACAGGGTTACAGAAGCCAGGGGTTAATATCAATACATGTTAGTCTAACAAGATGCCCATATATAACAAGTCAATCCAGTTACAATAACAATGAATACATCAATCGTAGCAGCATCCCAATATTAATTTACATTACTGACAAATTAAGTGTATATTCACAGTGTTACTCAAACTTTGGTAGATCAGGATATTGAAATTTATTTATGCAAGAATTGAATTTAAGCTTAGTGGTATTGAATTGCAATAATACAATTTTTAAGAGACCTATATGTAGTTCTTGGATTTGCTGATCAATCTGTGCTGATGAGCTTTTGATAAGTGAAAATACAGTCCACGTCAGTGGGTGTGGCAAATCAAAGAATGAATTAGGCTTCTACATCACAGATTATATTTTCAATTTTACCTTTGGTGAAAAGAAAGCTGTAATATAATTATCTATCCAGATATTTCTGAGTGATTCTGTAAAATGCTGTCCTCTTTCACTGATGAACAATTTACCATAAATATTGACAATTCCCTGTCTAGTAGATTTTACACTAAATTAGTTTAACTAAAAATATCTGCTTTAATCTAAATATGAATAAAATGCAAAAATGCATTCTGTCAAACCATGTGTAGTTGCATTTTGAATTATTGCATGTTTTAGTATTAGAGGCAACAGTGAAGTTTCCTTAGTTTTGTGTTTAGTTTTACATTATCTGAAAAATAAAGAACATCAATATTTTAAAGCAAAGTTGTTAGAACTATTTCACTGTATTTTTGTAGCATTAAACAAATTCCATTTTGATTTTGACTTGGAAGGATGAATATTGTAAGGCAGAATGTGACATAGCTAATGCCTGAGGATTAAATTTGAAATATGACTAATTCTATATGAACAAAAATATCTAATCAAAATTATGTAATTTAATTTTTAGCCTTGATCAGGTCATTTGCTTTGTATCCTACTTGTGTATTAAGTGTCATTACTCAGAAACATATCTTCAGTATAGAAAATTATTGCAGTGTTGTCCTGATTAATGCACTTAGGGGAATATTTTTGAGTTGTGAGGCATGAATTTTTCAATAATTAGAATAGGCACTAATTTCAATGGAGTATCCGTCAGGTAGACATTTTGACTAGAAGTCAAAATTCTGAATAAAAGATGTAGATTAGTTATATTTTACACAGCAAACAAAACTTCACTGCCACTGGCAAATGTCAGGCAGCAAATTGCTCAAATAAGGAAGAAATAACATGTTAAACTTGAATGCTTCACGATATGAGGGTTTCTCCATCAGATTTTAGAAGTGGGGTGTAATACTCTTAGGTATCAAATTCTGAGAGTAATAATTTATATCACTTTACATTGGGATGAACTTTAACAGGGTTCTACTGTACCATTCTTAAAATATTGAATATTAAAGAATTTAGAAGACAACGATCTCTAATATTTATGATGGTGCTAAGTTTTTTTGTACTTGTGCTTCATACTTTCTAAGCCTCGTCGAATGTGCTTCATACTTGCTAAGTCTTGTCGAATTTTGCAGGTGGAGGATGTAAGAAGTTTTTTTGTAGGTTTATATATGCTTTTTTGAAATAACAGAACATTATAAATTACTATACTGATACCACAAAATTCCACTATAATTTATCAGGCTTACTAATTAAGCTGTAGTTGGGTCTAAAAAATCTGCTTTCTGATCAGCATATCACCTTGATCATCAATCTTCAAACTCTGCAACAGTGATGACAGCTTTGCCCCACATAAATACTTTAGGAAGACTAACAGAATTACGTAATTTGAAATGAGCACTTTTGGTTATAAATATGTAACTGAGAGAAGTGATAAACAAGTATCTTCAAATGGTGTGCAGAGTCACTGTGATGGATTTTATAAATATGATGATATCTCAGCAAATAGAAAAAAGAGGATGTTCTTATTTTACATTCTAGCTCGCCAATATTGGTAATCTGAATTACTAATTTGTTAAAAACTGTAGACTTTACATTTTATGATCTGACTAAATGCAGAAGATGATGTACCATGACACAATTCATAAATATTTAGCAATTTTAAATAAGAAATTCAATAATCTGTAATTCTAAAATCTGAATTACAAACTACAGTTTGGTCCAAAATTTATGGACATACATTCATAAAATAGTAGTTCAATAAAATCTGGAATGTAAGTTTACAAAACATGCACTCTGACCTAAACCCATATGGAAAGGGTTAGCTCTCTCGCTACAGGCTTGGTTGAATTGACCAAGTTCGTGACCCCAAATTGACTTTTATACTTTCCATACTATAGCTTCTAATATGTTATGTATTTTCATGAAATTTTTCAAGCTTTTAGTAATTAAGTCATTTGTAAACAAAAAATCAGAATGTCTTCATGAATATATGGAGTTAAAGTGTTGACTGCTCCAAGTGCAAAGTGATTTTCATATTAAGATTAAAAATACTTTTCTTCATCTTAAAATCTCAACTTTCATTTGTATAATATCCAAAACCTCCCAAATAAGTTTACAATTTTTTTAACTAAAACTTTATTATATCTGCTATTTTCTCTACCCTAACTCCTTACGAAGTTAGTCATTTTTGACCTACCATGTAACCACCAAAATAAAATTTAAAAAAATCTAAATTACCCTTTTTTTCTAGATTGTGTTTATTTTGCAATATAAAGCTACATTTGTTTATCCAGAATAGCTTTAAACTCATAACAGTATACAACTGTTTATACTTAAATTTTATTGTTTTCTTGCCCTTTGAACTGACTAACTGATATTCCCACCACAAAATTTGTAAATCACTTGGCAAACGTGCAGCTCGCATTATCCTATTGAATTATATAATGTACATAATGTGAGTGTACATAGTGAAAAATGTATTGTATTATTATTATTTTATCTAAGCTAATCTAAAAAGTTCCTAATTTCACATTTTAGTTTAATTTAATAATAATAAATAAAGAATACACATGAAAAACAGGAAGTACTTACCTGGGTCTTTTTTTTGCTGTCAACTACTGGTGACAGTTAACCTTATTTTTTTTTATACTAATGGTACTACTGCAATAGAATACAGAATAATAACATGAAAAAAGCAGACAATCTATATACTACTAAAACTCTGAGATTGTTTGTTTGTGTGTGCACTTGTCTGTAATTAAATTCAGCAAAAACAGCACACAATAGCACCATATTTGTAATTAAATGAGAAAAAAAAAACAGAATAAAGCAAGTTTCGTTAAAATTGGGCCACAGGTTATTGAGTTAGCCCCATTTTTCGGGTCACTTTTCATACATTCCATTATTATTAAACTTCATTTATACAACAATATATGCACAACATAAATTAAATGATGAGATGAAAATGTGTTATAACGGCACGTAGAAAGAACAACAATAAAATGGATCTACAATATTATTGACTATTTGCAAATAGTAACTATGGAGATGAGGTAATAAAATAAAAATCAAGTCGAGAACAACAACAAAATCTTATAAATGAAAACCTCTTGCCGAACATTGGCTATTATATTATTTCCCTGCCAATGTTCCCATCTTCATTAAAAGGCGTAAGATGACAACAATCAAATATCTTTTCATGAATAATGAATAACACAAATGGATTGAAATATTTAATTAAATTATCTCAAAATAAACCTTCATTTCTGTGCAATATTGAAATTGGCTTGAATTCTTCATAACCTCTGAATAGTGGTTGACCAAACAGGTCACGGTGGTCTAGTATCCCATATCTATGACACTTTTGCTGGCATTCTAACTATTCGATAAGAGCCATTAAAAATTAAGCTAAGCTCACTGATGTGTTGTCCATGGGAAAAACATTTTAACTGAAAGTGAAATAGACAATTCTCTGTACAGAAAACAATATAAAACGTCATTTGATACATTAAAACCTTAGCTTTCTATTGGTTATAAAAAATATAGTACTAAACATCAGACAGAACTATTGCCAATTTCGAAAGAGGGGATGTAACAGCCTGATGTGGCAAAAGAGGTGTGATTTTCTAATTAATGGCTACAAAAATTATGCTTTGCCTGAGTGATGACAACATTATAATGAGTAATTTGTATTACACTTTTTTTTTGTAATTCTTGGAGAGGTACTAAATAAATTAGGGAAGAGAGGATGCCTAGAGAGAAAATGTCACAATTCTCATACTAGGGGAAATTCAGAATTTTTAAAATATTGTTATATAAAACATATACTATTAAAATTTGAACAGTCAGTTACAATTTTATGCTAAATTTATTCTTATACCATGATAAATAGGTAGTATAATTAAATTTTGAATGTAAATCAATAAAACCTTGTGACATGCTCAGAAAAAGATGTCCTGAGCAAAAAAATAACTAAACTTATCTTATTTGATGATTATTTTATTTGGACAACATAATTTTTAAAGAAAATCTCATGTTTACAAACACTACTACTCAATAAAACTACAGTAAAAAAACAAAAAAAAAACAATTTTAAACAAAGAACTACACATGAACAAAATATCTTTATTAAGCCTTAAACAATCTCCAGTCACGTGAATTGTTTCATACTAGTGTTTACACACACACACACACGCACATACAGTATGAAACAAGTCACATGACTGGAGATTGCTTAAGGCTTAATAAATAATATATATATATTCCCATGTCTAGGTAAACTTCTTGTACCTAATGATGATGATGTTTCCTTTTTTTACCCATTGAACCTATCTTTAAAGTCTACAAGGTTTTCCTATCTCAAAATATCTGTCTTCCAATTGGAAACATTTCTGAAGCTTTTAAACAGATGTAATTTAACAAAAATGCCATCATATTTTGTGTGGCTCTTAGTGGTTATGATCTAGTGCTCGCTGAAAATGAAAAGATGACCTGAATTACTGAAAGCATAAAACAGTTTGACTCCATTTGTAATAACAAATGGTTTGTTGACACATCCATTATATAGTTTTTGAATAAGAAAGACTTATTTGAGAAAAAAATTACCAAGTCTCCCTTAACGATTTGTTTCCCAGAATATACAGGCAACAACACCTATGAAGAAGCCACTGCATACATGCAGATGAAGTTTGAGAACTTGAACCATAAAAAAGACACCAAGGACATCTACACTCACTATACTTGTGCAACTGACATAAGCAATGCTCAGTTTTTGTTTGATGCTGTTACTGATGTTATAATCAAGAACAACTTGAAAGACTGTAGACTTTTCTGAAACATTTGACTGTGTGACATGTGTGGAAATCACCCTGTTACTGTGTTTACTTTACACACAGATTATTCAAAACAAATACTCAATATTTTCATGGACAAATATTTATTTTATTAAAAATACTTCACTACAAAGATATGATTTTTTGTATGTGAAAGACGTATAATGTTAATAAAAGACTGACATATTTTATGAAGATATACACATATAGTTTTTAAATGATTACAAAGAGGTCACATGGTCGGTCAAATTGACCAAGCCAGTGTGGAGAGAGTTAATGTAATATCTGGCATCTTAACTAATTTACTGGCTGTTCTTTTATCAACCTTATTTATGAAAATGAGAAACAGCAAAGGACCTTGTAGTACAGATGCCTGAGACTGGGGTATGCCACTTGTAAGTTGCAATGTTAATACACTGCAATTTGACATAACATTTAATAGACAACAAGGGGCCTATTGTTCCATCAAGGTTGTCCCATCTACTTAAAAGCAAACTAATCAATCTCTGGCCATTCAAATATTTATTGAGCTTTCCCATAAATTTAATGCATCAACCAATTTAAATGTCTTCCACCCTTTAGAAAAAAACAATTGCATGGGCTGAATATCACTTCTACACTCCCAAAATTTATGTACCACCTTGACCTCCCATTCTGACCATTAAATGACAAAAAAAAAAAAAAAGGATAGTTTTACCAATAACCTTAGACATCTCAATCAGATCTTTTCTAACTCCTCAAGAGAAAACAATTTCACTGCAATATTTTTCCACCATACAACCCAGGAACATGAAGAGTGGAGATTTGTAGGACCCCCCCTAATATCTTAGTCTAACATACTGTATTGGTAAACTACTTGAAAATAATTATTAGTAAATGATTATTGGCTTCAATATTACCAGAAATCCAAAACAGTTTTCATAAGTCAAGACAAACCACATATCTAGTAAGTCATAGAAACTGTTAAAAATAACTTTTATCAGAATGAATGCAATGTCCCCCTGCTTTCTTGATGTGGAGAAAGCATTCAGTGGATGGCACAATGGATTACAATTTCAAATATTCAATATGTACCTGCCATGGGGTACAATTTGATGGTTTTCCAACTTTTTTGACAAAAAAATTTAAGAGTTAATGTGACTGGCACCTTCTCAGAATATTCAACTTCAGAGGCAGGTGTCCCATGAGGAGGAGTAAATTAGCCCTAAAACATTCATCATGTATGCAAGTGAAATGCCCATAATAGCCCAAAATTCCTGTTTCCTCTCCCTGTTCAAAGATGATGTGGCTATATGGAAGAGTTAAAAAACTCCAATTGTAGCAACAACTAACTTAAAAGTAGTTCCAAGAACCACAAACACAACATTCTTACACAATTATGCAAGCATCCCTATCTTGTCCGACAGACTTCTAGGTAGATCAAAACAATATATCAGGAAAATGTTAATTAAAAATGTTTCATCAAGTTCACTAGAAAAACTTTTATCATACATGATGAACACAGACCTAAGTACCTCTCACCATTAAATCTAATTAACTCACTGTATGTATTATGTCCATCTAATACTAAACAAACCAGTATCAATATACGTTTTATTTTAGAAATATTATATGTCAAAATAAGAGTATATGTATACATCTATATAAACTTTAGAACTGCTTATTAAAAAAAAAGCATTTAACTTTTAAGCAAGTAAAGCAATATAGTAAATTGCCAAAAAAAGGAAACTCTGCTTTTCCATTCATGTACATGGCCAGGAAGGGGTCACTCATGTTTATGGAAAATTATACACATTTGTATCGCACATGCAATGGCTGCATGAATCCAAGTTTTAGAATCTAATGCCATAATGGTAATAATGTTCTCAAACATGTTTAACCACACTAAGGAGGAAGGAATAGATCCAGTTAGCACCTGACCCTTCTAAGTTCCAGGTCTTATAACCAAAACCATGACCACAATCATACAAAATCTAACAAGTCTATCTTCTGATTTTTAATAAACACTTGACTTCTATGAAAATCACTTAAAAAAGTTAAATTCTCTATGTAAAATGTTAACTTTGGGGGGGGAACCCCCATACTCAGTAAAACATTCTAATAATAATACAACAAACTTTCACATTAAATTAACCTATCTCCTGCCCCAGTAGAACAAGAAACAATCTTCCTGAAGAACTTTCAACTTAATCTTATTAAAATTACGCGTCACTTTATTATTATTAAAAATTAAACTATTACTATTAAATTTTAAAACTAAAAGCCTTGGAACTGAAACTTCATGGTACACATAAATCAAATAAATTGCATTATCTATGTCCATAATTTAATTTTCTACTTCTAATTCAAATTGCAAGTTCTTTAAGATTTTTATACATATTTAATCTTACCTGAGACCCCCTAGCAGTCACATCACTTGCATGCTTAACGTTAGGCCTCGCACTTGTTTTCTGACGTTCGTAAGGCTTTGAGTTATGAAGCTTGTTTTTTTCCCTTTTCTGTCTTATTGGAAATCCACTTGCCATAATTTAATTAACTTTATGATTATCTAACCTTAATAGACCTATCAATGAGGTAAATTACGAAACCTAAGTATCCACAGCGAATTTATAAATACTATTGGTTCAGAATTTTTACAGTATTAGTTATTACGAATTTTGCTTCACCATGATCACTATACCCATACATGATACAACCTCGAGGAAGTATGGCGGTAACGAGCTTGAACGTGATTGGTTACGAAATACTGGAATTTTTGCCGCCTGTGAAACATAACATTTACTATTTGCAAAATATTGAGTAATTTATTATATATATATAAAAAAATAATCAAATACAGTTACCAATTTTACCTTTCACTGAATTACACTTATTTACAAAGAATTAATTGTTAACATGTACTGATATTATTATAATAAGAAAACGTATGTTTAAAAATTATTTATATAACTTAGTGGTGTGCGCAAAATATAAGTATGGCTCTGTAAATGTCATTACATTATTGTTGGTTACAATAATTTATAATAATTGATAGATTAAATATTTCTAATGAAAGCAATACGTCTGAGCCAAAATTATAGTACATTTTGAAATATAAAAGCCAGTGAACACTTTTAAGCATTTGGGGTAAAGGTGTTTGTTTGTAATTAAGCACAAAGCTACGCAAAGGGGTATCTATGTTGTGCCCACCACTGTGTCGAAACCTGGTTTTTAGCGTTAAAGCCATCAGACCTACCAGTGTTCCATTGAGGTAGGGTAAGGCGAGAATAGTAAAAATACAGCAATTAAGAGATTAGAAACAATGATTTCCCTTCGAATAATTGGGTATAGGATCTACAAAATAATAGAGGACTCGACAGAAACTGCTTGACAGAGTTGAATTGATTTCAATTATCTTGATTTTTCAATGAATTTAAAGTAAATTAAAATACCGAATACAATGTAAAACAGGGTGAAAACAGCCTTTGGGTATATATGTATAAATATATACACAGAAACACAATGCATAACACACATACAAACATGGTTAGTTATGATTGAATCTAGGTTTTTCCCTCATTGTTGGTGGAATCTTGGGTGAATCCTCCAACAAGATATAACTTTTTATAAAATAATATAGGATTTCAAGCAACAAATTGAGTATCAGAACCCAGGTTTTAGCATTATAAATCTTCAGGCGTACCGCTGAGCTACTGGGAACAAACATGCGTTGTATAGCTTACAAGTTTCATGTGAATATTTTTTATTATTGAATATGTACTGCCTAACGCTCATGTGTTTCTTGTGCTTTTATATATATATAAACCTTTCAGTATCCTTGATTATAAAATTCCTTCCTAAAAACACGATGGTATTGGTCACTTCTCCACAATAAGCAGCAGCCAAAGGTACAAATAGATTTACCTGCACATGTCTTGAACCTACTTTCTTAGTCTTAGACCTTATATTACGCACATTAGTAAACCCAAGATTTTTTTCATTTATTTCCTCATGAGACTAACTTTGATTATAATATGTGCTACTTATTTTCTTTCTTATGCAACTTTAGATTCTGTAATAGCATCCAACGCATATTCCAATGTTTCTAATAATAAGCAATCTCTACAAATGATTTCCAATGAATCATTCTGACTCTCTTGAAAACTAGTTTAACCTACTACTTTAAAAATGTGTTAAATCTCCCAAACAGAACATCCTTCACTCCAACAGTATCCCAAATTCCAAGGTTCAGACAAGTTATATAAGGCATAATAACTGAAGGCTCGAGAGGAGTTCCCAAGTAAATAATCTAATCCGACTACAAAGAAGAGACACAATTTAGAGTGGGATATTTTACTTTACTTAGACTTTGAATCAAGTCTAATATAAATAAGACAATTCCTTAGTAAAAAATATTTTTATACAAGTGTGGTGAATGAAAAAAATCTGGTAATCAAACTTTAAGAAATGGAAAAATATTTATTCTTTAGTATTCCAAAACTCTTGATTAATAGGTAAGTTGATTAAGATTTTGAATTTTTTTATAAAATGTCAATAGGTCAAATTCGACTAAAAGAAACAGACTTGACACAATTATTTCATTTGGAAACAAAAGAAACATTTTATTTCACGTAAAATAAAAATGTTGAAATGTGAAATATCTAGTCCTATTCTGCTTCTTGTGACTTCTTTGGATACGTTTGTTTGTTTGTTATGAATTTTGAGCAAAGCTACAAGAGGGCTATCTGCGCTAGCCGTCCCTAATTTAGCAGTGTAAGACCAGAGGGAAGGCAACTAGTCATCACCACCCACCACCATTAACCTTTACTGAGATCGATATTTGAAAAGAACCTGGCCCCATCTAGTTTTATCATGATGACCTCTTGGTTGCCCATAGTTTCAGAGACGAACTTTGTCTCGAGGTTCAGCTTCCGTAAGTGTATGCAGAAATGGGTTGATCTGTCCCTCTTTTCCACGAGTACAACTGGTGAACGGTAGGCTGAATTTGAAGGATTGATGACTCCAGCTTATAACATTGCCTCAACTTCTTGCTTTATAAGGTCTCTCATTGCATAAGACATCTGATAGAGCTTCGCTTTGACTGGATCCCTGGTTTTGGTCTCGATCTTATGTTGCACAAGGTCTGTCTTTCCTGGTTTATCTGTGAAGATATATGCATACTGGCACAGTAGGTCTTGTAACGCTTGTTGACATCTTTGTGTGTCTCATCTCCACCTAGTAGTCTTAAGTTTAATAGGTTCTCTTCTTCTGAGACAAAGTCACTGTCTTCTAGTTCTGCATCTATGATGGCCACATCTGCAACATCCATCTCTGTTTCAATAGCTGCACCCATCAGGTCTTCTTCTCTCCCAAAATACTTCTTCAACAGATTGGCATGGTAGATCTTGGTCTTTCCGTTCACGTTCACCTTGCAGTACATTCTGTTGAGTACTTCATGTACTTCAAAAGGTCCTTTCCATTGCAGGGTGAGTTTGTTGTGGTCTGTGGGCAGCAGAACTAAGACCTTTTGCCCAATCTTAAAATGTCAATCCTTGGCCTTCTTGTCATAAAAATGCTTCTGACTACGTTGAGCTGCCTCTTGTCATAAAAATGCTTCTGACTACGTTGAGCTGCATACAAACTCTGTCGAGCAAGTTGACAGGTTTCCTCCAGTCGGTTTCTGAAGTCTAACACATACTGGTATGTGTTCCTTACTTCTGACTCTTCTCTCCCGTCCATAGCTCTTTCAATATTTGCATCGGACCTCGTACTGTTCTTCCATACAGTAACTCGAAGGGTGAAAATTCTGTACTTGCTTGTGGGACTTCTTGATAAGCGAATAATACTGTCTGCAAGTACCTGGCTCAGTCACATGGTCTCTCTTGACACATCTTCTTTAGTATGCTCTTTAAAACTCCATTGACTCTCTCACAAAGTCCATTACATTTAGGATTGTACGTGGTGATAAAGAGTTTCCGAGTGCTGATGAGTCTGCACACTTCCTGCATCAGTTCTGAAGTAAACTGGGTTCCTCTATCCCTCAGGATTTCTCTCGGAAAGCATACTCTGCAAAATATCTCCAGGATGGCTTCTAAACCAAAACAGAAAATAATATATTATTCAAATAATCAAGCCCAGTGGACATGAATAATGTTACGACAGCGGAAGTCGTGTGACGCTGGGAGCATGCGCGCTGGAGTTTCTCGAAGGATCATGAATTATCAAGTAACCCCGCGAATGTCCGAGTGTTTGCTAGACGCCCTCTTTTTTAGAATATAAGCCTGGCGAGAAAAAAAAGCGGTATCGGAGATATAGATAATTGAGTCAAGCGAACAGTAGCCACCGTAAATAAAGTGTGTGAATCGCTGTGAATTAAAGTAGTTAAAATTAAAGTGACTGGAAATACTGTGCATTACTAAAAGTTGTATCAAGACAGGAATTGTATCGCTGAAGTTCTTCGGAAAGAATTTCTACCGGAAATTAACAAACAAGCAGATACATAACAATACTGTTACGACAGCGGGGGTCACGTGACGATAGTTACACGTCATATTCTCGAACGTTCACGTCCTTTCCTGAAATCTCGAGAGCCTACTAGATATGCGGTAGTTCTGTACATATAAGACGGCCAGGACGTGATGACAACAATGTGTAATTGAACTGCGAACAGAGAGACGTATTGTTGAGTCGAGCACGTGAGACGTTCGTTGTG